TGACGTAGACTTATCGTTTCCTACTAATGATGCTGTGAATAGGTTGTTACTTTTTCTGATCGATATGGTTGAATTGTTTATTAATTCTCCCCGTGTGATGTTAAGTGCGGTACAGGTCACGTTGGCGAACATAGACAGTAGGCTGTTATTGTTTCTTTTTACATTTAGAATTTGAAATATATTAATGGGAAGTACACTTTTACAAAAAAAGAAACGCATAGGTGATTTTGAGAATATTGGACTCATATAGCTGCGGCAAGAACAATACAAATATACTATTTCTTTACAAAACATCATCTTTGTGTGATTGTAAACAGCTTCAGAGCTAATTTTAACTTTTGCCCTTATTTTAGAAGCGTTTGAAGAAATATTCGCCAAAACGTCACCAAGAAAATATGCAAAGCAAATTGTACGCGCAAGAAAGCGAAAACGCATGTGGTATCGATCACTATTGAAAGGCAAACGTTGTGTTCAATTTTGTCATTCGTTTTTGCCTGGAAAACAGGAAATCACGACTCAGTGCCGCCAATCAAAACATCGTCATAGACCGCCTTGAAGCTGGGGAGTCGCAGTCTGCAGTTGCCCGACATTTCAATGTTCATCAGAACAACATATCTCGCCTTTGGGATCTTTTCCTGCAGACCAATTTGACCCAAGATCACCCGAGAAGCGGCCGTCCAAGAGTTACCACCCATGCCAAGGACTGCTACATCCGGGCTGCTCTCTTGCGTCATCGTCTTGCCACAGCCATGGAGACTGCACATCGCATCATCCCTGGTTTGAGAAGAATTTCCGACCAAACTGTCAGGAATCGATTGCATGCAGTGGGGATTCGGCCAAGAAGGACAGTTGTCGCCCCTGTTTTGAGAGACTTTCATCGGCGCAATCGCTTCTCGAAGAGTCCGGAACTGGAACCTTAGAAACTGGAGGCGAGTCTGGTTCAATGAGGAATCACGATTTCTTCTTCACAGGCGAGATGGAAGACAGCGTGTATACCGTCGGAGAAATGAACATTTTGCCCCTAATTGCATTCGACAGATCGACAGATTCGGTGGAAACAGTGTCATGGTGTGGGGTGTGATATCCAGCACACAAAGATCTAATTAAGTGGTGGTTCTGGGGAATTTGACAGCAAATCGGTACATCAACGAAGTCCTTGCACGTCACATGCTTCCGATTATGGACCGACAGAGGGGTTGTTCCAGCATGACAACGCTACTTCACATTGCATTCTAACGTCAATGTCATGACATACATCCATTCTGTGCCGAGACGGTGCCGAGCAGTAATTGCTGCCAATAGTGGCCATACAAAGTACTGCCTTTGATGCCATCTTGTGGACTCAAGTAAACAGAAACAATAAAGACTGCTGTTGTCTTGTGTTGTGTTGTGCGAATTCTTGGCCTATAGACGTGTGAATTTTCACCTTCTTACCATTGAAATTACATGAAACAATTGCTCAATAAATTCTTCTATAAAAAGCTTATGCGTTTCTTTTTTCCTTTTTTGAAGAATGTATTATCTATTATTTTATATTTTCGCATTGTGTTCAGCAAGCATGAAATCCTCTATTTTTAACACCTGGTTGTTTCAAATCTGTTTGTTTGTTACACGATGTTTGTTTGTTTGTAAAAGTTCCAGTTGAGGCATCAGCCACAAACATGATATCCCATAACATTCCGTGTTTTTCATTGTTTTCCAGATGAAAAAAGTCTTTGTCTTTGTATGGGTTCTTTGACAGGTGCCCCCGGGGATATAATGAGCTATCCTTTGACGAATACCCGTTGTAAAACTGACAGTAATTCATTAACACATGCGCATGATAGGTATAGGAATTTTACAATGGACCTTTATGAATATGGAAATACGGATGTCTCATGAATATGAATGTTTTGATGCCTCATGAATATGGAAACATGAATGTTTTATGAATGTGGAAACATGGACGTCTCATGAATATGGAAACAATATTTGTCGCGTGGATTTTCGTGGAATTACAATACAGTATATTTGTTTAATGCGTGATTAAAACGATTCAAGTATTAAGACAGTTAAATAAATCTAAAAACCGTAGCCTAAACAATATGTCAATCGTGTTCATAATCTAATTAATAAAAAATGTGACAGTATACGAAACTCATTACAAAACTGATTATTCTACCGTTTTCCACAATAATGAATGATGTGTCAACATCATTTTTTAATCTGTAGCCACAAACGAGAAGTTGTGCTTGAGGAAATAAAGCTGAATGGCCGCACTCAGTCGCTCCTGACAATCTGACATGAAAGTCAATAGTCATTCAAGTTGTCACCGTCACTCTAGAACCTAATGGAAGCCGGGATGTTTTCGCTGTCGTTGTCGTCGTTGATCCAGAGAGTGAACATACCACACGTCAATCACTGGCTCGTCAATATACTCACCGGCTGAAATGAACACATGTCAATTGACTTCAGCATCGTGAGAACGGACAGCTATATTCAGATATAAGACACCGAGCTTACCTTGCTGTGTTTATTCAGGCGATAGTCACATATGCTTGTATTGACTATGGGATTATTTTGATAATTGCAAGAGGCTAAAGTTGACCGAGATGGGAGACACGACAAAACCTAATCGATCTCACGGACGTGGCCAGAGGGAGACATCTGTTATCGGTAACGGTAAGTTGATGTAAACCACCGGGCAAATGAAAGCATACACTTTAAAAATGACAAAAAACATCGTAAGCAAACCGTTCTTGGCTGAAACACTGGATACTTGTTATCCAAAATACAATTGCGACATCTGTGTGAAATACATACCCTTTAAATAATTCTTTCTTATGTGTTTCATTTTAGCTGTTACTTAAAAAGGGCGTATATTTTCTCTTGCAGTATATTTCTTTATAATTATTTGGAGTGAGTGAGTTTATTTTACGCCGCTTTTAGCAATATTCAAGCAATATCACGGCGGGGGACACCAGAAATGGACTTCGCACATTGTACCCATGTGGGAATCGAACCCGGGTCTTTGGCATGACGAGCGAACGCTTTAACCACTAGGCTACCCCACCGCCCACATTATGTGGAAGAATTTTGCTTGTTACATGTATGTCTGGAGCATTGACTTCCACTCTTAAATATTTTATTGTCTGTATCCTTTCTCATATACGAAAAAAAAATATCTCAGAACAAGGTGGCATTAACCTTCCGAGGTGCTGTCGATTGCACCTACTTTATCTTGTTGTTTGGCGAGCCGACCATGGTGACTGATTCTTGTAAGAACCTTTCTGGATCAGCTTCTAACAGGGTTAGATTATCACAAGATATGTGCCTGATGCGTTTTTGATCAGATGTCCATTTTGGAACCAAAAGAGCTGATGATTTCTTTAGTGCAAAGGTGTCTGTGATAACTGAATGTCTCCCGGGAAATTGTCTTTGAATCTACCTTGGAGGTATCCCCATATCGTAGATTGTCTGGATCATCTGTTGTGGCGGACAGGCCTTCTACTACGGTGTCATCTTCATGGCTTTTCCTGTCGTGCTCTTGCTGGACATGAGTGGATTTGGTTTTTAGGATTATTTTTGCTAAAAGGTTTCTCAAAAATCATTTTAATTTTGAAAGGTTCTATAAACCTGTAAAAGTAACTGACTTGCCACGGCCAAGCAGGTCGCCAAGTTGTATCTAGTTTGGCGGCGATCTACACTAGGCAAGTCAGTGATCAACATCATGAGCATCGATCTGCGCAATTGGGATACGATGACATGTGTCAACCAAGTCAGCGAGCCTGACCACCCGATCCCGTTAGTCGCCTCTTACGTCAAGCATGGGTTACTGAAGACCGATATCATTGACACATATTGTAGTTGGTGCTCTCTTTTGATATCCCATTAAAATTGACATGTGTATTTTTTCAACTTTATTTCAAGCAACAAACTTGACAAGTAAAACAATTCCTCACTGATATCACCCCCTATTCGTCTATTTCTGAGCCTCGGGTCACATGTATCAGTCCGCCTAAGGTGGCGGTACGTCAGACTAACGGTTAGTCTCTGAATATATATAATTTTGATATTAACAAAATTTAATAAACCCATTTAAATTGAAAAGTGGCCCGAGTGAGATGTGAGATTCTATACTTGCTTCATTGAGAGCTCTACCTTTGCGGGAAGGGCTAGGCAGTAGGGTAATTAAGGTGGTTAAGGGACTGTGAGTGAGTGAGTTTAGTTTTGCGCAGCACTCAGCAATATTCCAGCTATATGGCGGCGGTCTGTAAATTATCGAGTCTGAACCAGACAATCCAGTGATCAGCAGCATGAGCATCGATCTACGCAATTAGGATACGATGACATGTGCCAACCAAGTCAGCGAGCCTGACCACCCGATCCCGTTAGTCGCCTCTTACGACAAGCATGGGTTACTGAAGATCAATTCTAAACTGGACCTTCACGGATCTTGAAATTCAGGTTGTTATAGTGAGGTAGATTCATTTTAATCAATTAATTTGAACATGTTAATTAAATGACTAAATGGCTAAACCTTCTATTCTATAGGGAAAACATTCAACGGTATCTAAGGATAATTCATACCTCTCTCCTTCAGATCCAAGACTCACATCACGTCGAGCATTCTCCAGACGACGCCAGAGCGCCGCCGACCTTGAACTTCAAGACTGGGTAGTACAAAAACTGCAACTCAGCAGTTCTAAGCTACCACAGAAAGATCTGAATCGTATCTCCACACTGGCATCTGTGTATTGCAGAATAAAAAACTTGAAAGGAATCTTAGCAACAAAATACAAAGAAGATGATATATTCAAAAGTAAGTAAAGCGTGACTGAATATCGAAGAAAGAAAATTGTTAATCAAGTTCATTAAGTTCCGAAATTAATTAATCTTAATTACTTTCCATAACAAAGGACGTCAGTTGGAGAAGGTCGTAACAGGTCTATAATGAGGCTATGACTTCCCCGAAGAAAAAGGTATTCTCAAATAGCTAATTGCTTACAGGTCAATTAAGAAAATTAAAAACGATATTTCCTTTAAATGTGACAAACGTAATTGATTGTCAATTCAATAGCTTGTAATATATTTAAATATATGTTTTCAGAAAGCAAATCTTCAAAGAAAGTCAATAAACCCATGACCGCCGCCAAACCCAATGGCACCAAAGACAAGGGTGAGAAGAACTACGCCCAAGAAGAGCTTACAAGGTATGCTTGGACCTTTAATTTGTTTATTTAAAGTTTATTTCATAATTTTTTTAAATTATTTTTTTATTTAATCACTTATTTTTTAAATTATTTATTTATTTTTATTTATTTTGGGGTGTGCATGCGTGCGTGCGTGCGTGCGTGCGTGTGTGTGTGTGATGGTTTTTACACATTTAATTTTACCAAGTCTGCATGGCGTCTTTTAATAGGCGTCTATCACCGCCATCGGCGCTCTGGTCCTTCTCATTGCAAGACTATGAGTGGTAAATATAAATCTGATCATGAAGCATACAAATTTGTTTGGAATAGCAAGATGCTGTCGCAATTCAGAAATAATCTACTATCTGATGATATACAAGACTTATTTGATAAATCTGTTGATGTAGCATTCACTGATATAAGTCAATGTGTAGATTATGTCGTAGAAGCATTATGTCTAGCTGCTTTTGATATGAAAAGACGGATACGCCCCTTTTCAGAAAAACATAATACGAATATCTGGTATGATGAAGAATGTAATCATTTAAAAAAAGAACAGTGTAAATTTCTTAACTCCTTCCGAAAAGATAAAACCTTGCAATCCCTGGAGAGATATCACAAAGCTAGAAACAGATATAATACAACCTGCAAGGAAAAGAGAAAGGGATTTATGGAACAGAAAAGAAAAAACCTAGAAAATAATATAAATGATGCCAAAAAATTCTGGTATGAACTTAAAACACTAAATCCTAAGAAAAGCCAAAATAATAACATTGAAATCGACGAATGGTTCAATTACTTTCAGTCATTATTCTCTACCTCTGATAACAACCCAGATCCAAATAGACAAGACAATGTGAACGATACTGAGTCTACTCATATTTCAGGTGTAGCCTCCGACATATTGGATGCCCCAATAAGTAGAGATGAAATACTTAACAGTATACAACATCTAAAGTGTAATAAGTCACCAGGATTAGACAACATCCTCCCGGAATTTTTCAAACATTCATCTGATCTTTTACTTCCATATCTTGAGCTTATTTTCAATATTATCCTCGACACTGGGAACTTTCCTGAATCTTTGTCAGTTGGCATTCATGTTCCAGTCTATAAACAGAGTGACCCTAAAGATACCAATAACTACCGTGGAATAACTGTACTTAGTATATTTGGCAAGTTATTTACTTACATTATCAACAAAAGATTAGTTAAATGGACTGACGTCATGGATCAGATATACGAGGGTCTAGCGGGCTTTAGGGAGGGATATACAACAACAGATAATATCTTTATACTGTATAGCCTAATACAAAGATACCTCAGCTCAAAAGGTGGAAAGTTCTACGCACTATTCGTTGATTTTGCAAAGGCTTTCGATTCTGTGCAGCGGGATAAACTATGGAGACTTCTACAATCGCACGGTCTTAGTAGTAAAATGAATAAAATGTTGAAGAGTATATACGAAAATGTTAAAGTGTGTGTAAGGAATCAGCATGAATTATCTGAACCTTTCATTAGTGAACTAGGTGTTAGACAAGGCTGTATTTTAAGCCCTTTCCTTTGTACGTTTTTCATTAATGAATTAGCAATACAAATATGTGACACATGTACGAATGGGATTCAACTACACCCAGATACAATACAACTATTTCTGCTACTCTTTGCCGATGATATTGTACTATTCTCTAGTACTGTTAGCGGTTTACAGAAACAAATAGATGAATTAGACAAATTTTCTGACTAATATAAATTGAGTGTAAACAGAGACAAAACCAAAATTATCGTCTTTAAGAAAGGTGGAAAGCTCTCTAAATTAGAAAAATGATATTATAAAGAGCAACTATTCAAAACTACCAGTGTTTATAAGTATCTGGGTGTATATTTTTGTAATAGCCTTTCCTGGTCCAAACACACAAAACAAGCGTCAGCACAAGCCTTGAAAATCTTAATTGGTGTTTATAATAATATGAGATCGTTGGGTGAAATGTCCTTTAATACATTCTTTAAAATATTCGATATGAAGATAAGTCCAATACTTCTATATGGCTCTGAAATATTGGATTACAACAATATGACAGTATTGAAAGAGTTCATTTATATGCATGCAAACTGTTTCTTGGTGTAAAACCGAACACATGTAATAGGATGGTTTACGGAGAATTAGGTAGATTCCCCTTGTTTATATACTCTTCCATTAAAGCCATAAAGTATTGGGTAAGATTACTGCATATGCCATGCAATAGCTTTCCGAAAAAATGTTATGATATGATGAAATTGTATGACGAAAATGGGAAAAGAAATTGGGTGAGTGATATTAGGGAGTTGTTGTACAAAACTGGTTATGGTTATGTGTGGTGTGATCACAATGTTCAGTTGCATACCAATTTTATCATATCATTTACACAAAGAATGAAAGATATCTATTTCCAGTCTTGGTCGGAATCACTACTTCTATCCACAAAATGTTTATACTATAATCAATGGAAATCGGACATACGTTCTGAAGACTATTTAGCAAAAATCGGCGTAAAGAAGTTCCGTATAGCTCTCTCTCGTTTTCGTTGCTCTTCCCATGAATTATATTATTGAAACTGGCAGGTATGCAGGTATACAAAGAGAAAACAGACTATGTCAGTTATGTAATATGAGTACTGTTGAGGATGAACTACATTTTCTTCTAATCTGTCCTGTTTATACGACTCTACGAACGAACTACTATTATAAGCATCCAAGTGTAAGAACATTAATTTCACTATTAACAGATACTACCACATCAATATAACAGAATCTGGCAATGTACATCTATTTCGCTATGAGATTAAGAAAAAGTATTGTTATAGAAAGAATTTATAAATGACTTCTATCTACTCATGTAAACTCTAAATGTACTACAGGCCTGTGGCCTTTTTAAGTACTGAAATAAAGATTGATTGAATGCAAGATATTTTTTTGGTACTATCCTTTTTGTTTATTTAGTTACATGTAGTTTGGCTTTGTATGTTGTGGACATTGTTCTTAAAAGTATGAAATCAATAATCACCATGTATAACGGTGCCATAAAATCTCGCAGCTCTGTGCCGCCGTTAAAAGAGGATTGGATGTGGAACAGGTGGTCAAGATGGCAGGGTCATCGTACACCGGGGGAATAATCTGCTCTCTTGTCTCTTGTTTCTCCGTCCAATGTTCGAAATAGCCGACTTTAACAAATACCCTCACTCACTGGGTCGCAGTATCTCAAATTCATTTCTTTAATGTCAAAAGAAAAAGCAGTATAACCAAAGAAAACAAATATACAATTAAACTGAGTTCTTTACACGGTTTCAAATGCGGACTATGGGGTGTCTTGTCTGCATTGGATTAGTAACGGCTGAAAACCATTCGCGTGATAATAGAAGGAAATTAATTATTGTTGATAATTAAATTGTCCATAATGAAGATGTTGATGGCCGGAATCCCCCGTGGGTTCTTCAATAGCGCACATGTTTGGCGTCTAAAAGGTCATTGTTTCGATACGAGGGACACTCTGACATCAATCATTCATAAGTCACTTTAGGATTAACTGTGTACCGAGGTCTTTTATGGTTCACCGAGTCATCATAATGAACACATTATATAGTTTGAATGGGTGAGTGAGTGAGTGAGTGGGCGAGCGAGCGGATTACAATTTACTTTCTGAATCACAACATTTCTATATCTCATATTTTCGACAACATGCCAACACATGATCACGTATGTTACCTTACGACGTTCTAATTTACAGCAACATCGACCAAGATGTTTCCGATCAAGAAGTCGTGAAAACGTTGCAGGATGATGACGTACAAGATGTTGGCGAGGCGCAGAAGAACAGAACAGCGCAGTCTGATTTGGCTCCCGTTGAGACTGTAGACCCGACGCCAGGCTGTTCGAAAGATTTTGATCACCAACCAGTTGCGGTATTGCCTACCTCCCCAGCTGATTATCCTAAACCCATGACAGTAGCCCCGATGCCAGGTTGCTCGAAAGACCCCGACAACGAACAAATCCCAACATCATCTAGACCCCCTGCAGAGGATGATCCTCAACCCGGAACTTCGACAGAGTTTGAGCCAACTCCCGGTTGTTCGAAAGATCCTGATGTTCCACTTCGAAGTTTTTCGAAGGCCTCCAGGAAAAGTAATCTCAGTACACTTTCGTCTAAAAGTACGAAATCTGAACCCGTTCCTGCGTCTGATTACGTTGATCCATTTTTCAGAAGGTCAAGAGCTCCCGATTTAAGACCAGATCTTGAAGATGAATCATTACCACCAAACCGTCGTACCCTTGTTGCCGAAGTTCCTTCAAGTCGTGAAGAGGACGAAGACCCTAGTAAGGTGAACGTCGATTCTGATCTCATGGAAATGGCACTCTTCATCCATCTTGCAATGATGAAGAGGACCAGAGCGCTGCGGGAGATGATAGACGCCCAGTGAAAGACGCCATAACAAGGGCAATATTTCTCTTTCTACAGACCAAACCGTCAAGGAACTTCATTCTTAAAGCCTTAACTTTGTCTATTAACCCACGAAATATATATTGTGATAAACTTTCTCGTATTTGATCATAAAAAAGCGAAAGATTGAGGATGTCCTTTTCAATATACCATAGCCCTTAAATATGTTGTTGTTCATTATCAATCAACATAACGATATATGTCGTATGTACTCGACGACAGTGTGTGTATAGATTTGAAACATTTGTGTGTGTCTATCAGTCAGTGCACATCATTCGGATCCAATGATGAGCAATTCTTGATAATACCATTAACATGGACATGTTATGTTGGAGATCGTTCCTGTGCAAGAGCTTATCTTCCATATTTCGTAGACGGTGACCCAGTCGTCTTAGGTGCCGAAATTCGCTGTGCAAGAGTTTATCTTCCATATTTCGTAGACGGTGTCCCAGTCGTCTTAGGTGCCGAAATTCGCTGTGCAGAGTTGCGTCACTTTGGTACGCCAGCAATGTATAATCGTGTTTTGGAAAGCCTGTCCAAACCGTTTCGAGGTTTGTCAGCGTCATACCTGTGCTTGTGATTTTTACTGAAGAGGTTAACGTCAAAGACCACCATCACTTTAGGCTTCCCTTCCTCATTAAGGGGGTGGTCGGGTAGCCTCGTGGTTAAAGCGTCCGCTCGTCACGCCGAAGGCCCGGGTTCGATTCCCCACATGGGTACAATGTGTTAAGACCATTGCTGGTGTCCCCCGCCTTGATGTTGCTGGAATATTGCGTAAAGCAGCGTAAAACCCAACTCACTAACTCTTTCACTCACTCATTAAGCTGACAGGTAGTATAGTGATATAACTGAAATCTGTGCAAGGCAGTGTTGATCCCAAAGCACCTACCCTGCATATATCCCATAATGCGTCGAAATTCCCCGTGATCCTTAACAATGCAACATCCTTGACAATGCAACATCCTTGACAATGCAACATCCTTGACAATGCAACATCCTTGACAATGCAACATCCTTAACAATGCAACATCCTTGACAATGAAACATCCTTGACAATGAAACATCCTTGACAATGCAACATCCTAAACAATGCAACATCCTTGACACTGCAACATCCTTGACAATGCAACATCCTTAACAATGCAACATCCTACAATGACAATGCAACATCCTTGACAATGCAACATCCTTGACACTGCAACATCCTTGACACTGCAACATCCTTAACAATGCAACATCCTTGACAATGCAACATCCTTGACAATGCAACATCCTTGACAATGCTTGCCCCTTTCACTAGTATGGTTTAACTCCACCTTCGCCAATATTCCAGCAATATCACGGCGGGGGACACCAGAAATGGGCTTCACATTGTACCCATGTGGGGAATCGAACCCGGGTCTTCGGCGTGACGAGCGAACGCTTTAACAACTAGGCTACCCCACCGTCCCTCCCACTGAGACACCGCAGCATATCTACCCTTTCTCAAACACCTACAGTCGTTTTGTCTCACACTTGAAGGGTTTTCAATGCCAGTAGATATAGGAGTGGTTGAGGTCTACTGTCTGTCTTTTAATTTTTAAAACGTAACTGACACGCTCAGGTTCACCTGACGAGAACTGACTGACGAGATAGTCGCTGAACCGAGACCAGTGAGTTCATAGTATACCATGCCACACTTTGAAACGCCCGTCATCCGTGTCCCAACTGAAAACACTAACTATATGTTATGAATATATAATATGGTTACATCGAAGGTAAATTTCTCCACTAAATGGGCAAAACCAACTGCAAAATATATGCTAATGAATTGCACGAGGATCATGCATCAAATTGCTGAAAAGCATGTGCAAATATCGTTCATGTGAACAGCTGCGTTTTGGTTTAAAGTTTTGTTAAGAATTCGACAATTTTCAATGATTTTTATCATTTATTGAACTCATGACAATAATCTTTTCAACGTGACGAATTTGTTTTTCAATACACCAGTTCATGTGTAAACAGTATGGAATATTTTGCAAAATTTAGTTTAGAACAGTTGCCTGAGGTAAGTGGCTATATTAACACTAGTGAGTCTAAACGTTTGAAACGAAGTATATGTCAGTTCAGGGAACAGGGATTTTTTTACACTGTAATACTATCGTATGTATTAATATTTACATGACGCTTCGATCACCACTTACCATATTTGACACTGGCAACAAACGTTTCCACTCGTTTCCACTGATAAACAAACGCGATGTAAGTCATTCTGTTATGGGAATAAACTTTAACACAGCACAAAATATACCGTAGTGGGGGAGTGACGCGTCACACCGAAGACCCGGGTTCGATTCCCCACATGGGTACAATGTGTGAAGACCATTTCTGGTGTCCCCCGTTGTGATATTGCTGGAATATTGCTAAAATCGGCGTAAACTAAACTCACTCACTCTCGGGAATATTGACAAACGTTAGGGATAACAACTTATTTTAGGTAAAGAATTTGTTATCTATAAAAAATAGCAGTAATGTACTTCCCAGTTTCTCAAATGGCAAGTTTCAAGTATTCCCCAGGGAGTTGAGAAATGCGTGCGCATATTGATCCACTGACGAGGTTAATGGTAATGTAAACGGCCTGTTCAGAATAGTAACGTGACAAGTACTCATGCAAGGATTAAAAGTTGTTTTCGTGAAATAGACACAGGCGATTAAATCAACATTCCACTCCCCATCTTCATTCATAGAAATTGTTCATATATCTATCCCAATGTCACGCCGAGCTGCTCCTGACAAGCCCTGGACGTTATCAGATAACGATGAGTGAGTGAGTGAGTTTGGTTTTACGCCGCTTTTAGCAATATTCCAGCAATATCACGGCGGGGGACACCAGAAATGGGCTTCACACATTGTACCCATGTGGGGAATCGAACCCGTTTCTTCGGCGTGACGAGCGAACGCCTTAACCACTAGGTTACCCCACCGCCCTGATCAGATAACGGCATGTCAGTCACTACAACTACTAGTACTTGTATCAGTGACTCGGCGGTGTGGTTTCGTGTAGGTGCGAGGTGTCATCACTGGGGTGGGGCGGTGGGGTAGCCTAGTGATTAAGGCGTTCGCTCGTCACGCCGAAGACCCGGGTTCAAGTCCCCACATGGATACAAAGTGTGAAACCCATTTCTGGTATCCCCAGCAAAGATATTGCTGGAATATTGCTAAAAGCGGCGTAAAACGTAACTCACTCACTCATCATGGGGGTTTTCCGTTTCGCGAATAATAGATAATTACGCATAGATTGAATAGTACTAGATTATAGGTATGAAACGAAATTATGATGTCCAATCATTTATAGAAAAGACTTATAACAATCTTATGAAGACTTTGCAGTCAGACCTTTAAAACGAAAACCAGTTTATGACCGGCGGGGTTTGTGGATCCGATCCAAGTAGGATCCTTGGTCATCAGAACCCCACTCAGCGACTTCAATATCTCGATTCCACGAACCCTGTCATGTTCAGCTTTAGCGGGTATTAATGTACAGGGAACCTTAAACCTTGTTCCAAGTGACGTTCAACTTCACTGAGTGAATATGGTTTTACGCCGCTTTATCTCTGAAACCGTTAAGATATCAGTATGAAAATTTGGATTTCTCTTAGTTACACCAATATGAGACCCTCCTGTAAATTTGAAGTGTTTTTGACAATGGGATCTAGTACCGGTGTGATAAAGGTTAACCGCTAGGCTACCCAACCGCCCCTCAAGTTCACGGACTTCAGGACGTAGGTCCTGTTTACATACAGCGTTGGTCACGGAGAGTAGGTGGATGGGTGGTCATGTTCAGCAAGCTTAACTCATGCTGAACTACAGGTTACGTGTGACGTGCCCTCCTGTACACCCAGCAGTGAGTTGGGTACCAGGTAGGGACGTGTAACCATCTTTAACCTCATAGACAGCTTGGGTTGTTACTCCCCAGGGAGTTGAGAATTAAATTCTAATGCGAACTGATCAGTTGCCCAGGTTAATGATTATGCTCTTTCGGCATATACTTTTAATCAATCATTTAAACAATAAGTACAGGTGCACTATTGATATCAGCCGTCGTCATCATCACCATTATCATCATCATCATCATCATCATCAACGTCGATGATTCCTGAACATTAAAATATAATTTACACTGAAACATAATGAAGGAACTGGAAAGAGAAACGTTCATGTGATGTGGAAATGCAATACTCTTCATGTTTCAATTCAAACCATCATCCAGAGAAGGGGTGGTTAGGTAGCCCAATGGTTAAAGCGGCCGCTCTTCACGCTGAAGAACCGGTTTCGATTCCCCGATATTGTTGGAATATTTATAAAATCGGCATAAAACCATGCTCACTCATTCACTCATTCCAGAGAAAACAAAGAGACAAGTTTAGCTGCCAGTGTGTTTAATACCCACGTCGTCAGATCGTCATGCTCCTTACAAGGTATCTGAGGTACAGAGCTAGTGTGCCGAACCCTAAGCCGGATTTGTGAGACAGACAGCCATCTGAAACAAACGTGACGTTTAGTTAGTCGCTATGTAACATGCATGCATAGTCATAATCATAACACGTATTATTTCGGCAATTACATGCGTTATTTTGTAAAGTAACATGATCATAGCGTAATCGAGGTACGAGGACACACAATGAGTACTGGTTCACGACGTCGAGGTACGATGACACAAAATGCGCAACGATCCACGACGTCGAGGTACGATGACTCACATTGAGTAACGATCCACGACGTCGAGGTACGATGACACACAATGCGCAACGATCTACGACGTCGAGGTACGATGACACACAATGAGTAACGATCTACGACGTCGAGGTACGATGGCACACACTGAGTAACGATCCACGACGTCGAGGTCGGATGACACATAATGAGCAACGATCCACGCCGTCGAGGTACGATGACACACAATGAGCAACGATCCACGACGTCGAGGTACGATGACACACAATAAATAACAATTCACGACGCCGAGGTACGATGACACACAATGAGTAACGATCCACGACGTCGAGGTACGATGACACACAATAAATAACGATCCACGACGTCGAGGTACGATGACACACAATGAGCAACGATCCACGACGTCGAGGTACGATGACACGCAATGAGTAACGATCCACAACGTCGAGGTACGATGACACACAATAAATAACGATCCACGACGTCGAGGTACGAGGACACACAATGAGCAACGATCCACGACGCCGAGGTACGATGACCCATGAACAACGAGTTTTCAGGTACGATGACACACGTCGAGGTACGACAATGAGCAACGATGAGTCAACGATCCACGACGTCGAGGTACGATGACAATGAGCAACGATCTAATGAGGTAGTAACGAACGATCCACGACGTCGAGGTACGATGGCACACAATGAGCAACGATCCACGACGTCGAGGTACGATGACACATAATGAGCAACGATCCACGACGTCGAGGTACGATGGCACACAATGAGCAACGATCCACGACGTCGAGGTACGATGGCACACAATGAGCAACGATCCACGACGTCGAGGTACGATGACACATAATGAGCAACGATCCACGACGTCGAGGTACGATGGCACACAATGAGCAACGATCCACGACGTCGAGGTAGTACGATGGCACAACGAGAGTAACGATCCAGGACGCCAGGAACAATGACATGACAAACTAAAAAACAAACAAACAAACCTTTCATTGCTTGTTCTCGCTGGAGCTTTCTTGACGTCCTCAACCTGACAAATCAGAAATATGTTTAGTGAACGCAACGTTAATTTGAACATCTAACATAGCGGACAATGTTGTTAGAGAATATTTACACACTCATACAGTTACACCTTGCCAATCAGGAATTAGTCCCCAGCAACCAACGCTTGTCTAACGGGATCGGGCAACCAGGCTCGCTAGCATGGTATCATCGTATATCTTAATTATCATATATGATCACTGGATTGTCTGGAGTTTTACAAAGCTATAATGTTTCTGAGTAATCCGCAAGCAAACAAACAAATATTAATTACATGTGATGATCCGGACGGACCAATCTTCAAGTGATGCTACCATTCGGATTAACGAGGTGTACATGTGTTATCCATAAGGTCGGTTTTCTAAACCGGACATCGTGTTTATACGGACGCTAGTCCATGTAACAAGTATGACTGACTATGCTTCAGTTTATGTTTTGTTTGAAAAAACTGGGGGAATACCAACTTTAATAAAATCAGGGACATGAACGGCCGATGACTTTGACACTGCAGGTACTACCACTACACTGCTGCTGCTTTTGCCGATTCTACTACTGCTACTACTTCTACTACTACCATTATTACTACTACTACTACTACTACTACTACTATTACTACCATCACCACCACCACTACTACTACTACCACCACTACCACTACTACTACTACTACTACTACTACTACTACTACTACTACCACTACCACTACCACTACGTCGTCGTCATATGAGCGAAATATTCTCAAGCACGACGTTAAAGAACCACTAAACTTTGTTTTTTGTTACTCTTTTAACCATTACATATGACAGATTTGTGGTTAGTCTTATGCGGAACACCAAATTTATTCTTTAAAAACATGTGGTTAATTAATACCGAACGATTAAAAGTGGCCAAAAAGTCGCCTGCTTCCCTCTCGCCCGCCAACGAAACCACAGACAGGTTACGTAACTCTGTCGCCAGAGCACTGCAGTGACGTCATATGAGGAACGATTTTCAGTTAGTTGTATAGAAAATGTGTAGCACGCTCATCATTTTGATGATTTCTCGACATCAACGACGACATGCCGAATCGTTGCTTTGTCGTCAATTGCTCCTAGGGGTCGGGCGATGGTGTCCCCATGCACAGATTTCCACAGGACCCCGCAGTTCGTGCTAAATGGGTTATGTTTGTGAGTGCGAAGCGAGCGTTGTGGAAGCCTGAAATGATATCTTCACGGAAGTTAAAGAATCAAAACTACTTACTAGTTGTAGTAAAATATGCATATGATTGATCACCATAAAGATTTTCTATGACACAACTTGTAACATAACGATTTCTTCCTCGGAAGTGAGGTTGTGGTCGAAGTAACAATAATATTGTAAGTAGTATTATATTGACACCCACCTCGCTGCCACGAGAGAAATTGTTATGATATACGCTATGTCATGCAAAATCCTATTGGCTATCAATAAAATACATATTTTACTACCAGTAGAAAGTAGTTTTGATTTTGTAACTCGGTGAAAACAAACCTAAATAGCATTTATCCTCAGACTGGCGGATGTTCCCGACAGGGCGCCGCCATTTTTAAAAATAAAAAAATCTGTTAGAATTAATGAGATTATAGTCTGTTTTCATCAAGTTAGAAAATCAAGACTACTTTCTACCTCGTTGTTAAATATGTATTGGAATCATAACCAAACGGATTTTGCATGACACAACTTATAACATAACGATTTCTTCCACGGAAGCGAGGTGGGGGGTCGAAGTCACAATACTGCGCGATAAATTTCTTGCTACATTCCCATGGTTAATGTTCACTCACCAGTATGTAGATACTAGTCAATGTGCGTCTTTATATTTGGTCTTATAATCCTAATTAGTTTATTATCACACTTGTATGCATTTTGAAACTAAATAAAAAGCAGACGATCTGCTGATACTTATAGTGAATTTATAACAGAACTGTAATATCTAGACATTTTATAGTTTGCCAATGTGAATCATAATTCGCACACACACCCTAGTGCATGTTGTCTGTCTCATTACACTTCACGGCGAAAACAATGATTCTGTTGAATGCTACGACAAATGAATAAAACAAAATGCAAATATTAAAATTAAAACAGATTAAAGTTATAGGAACAATATCAGGCCATTACCTTGTTCGAGGAATGTATCCATCAATATCCACAAAACTGTTCCAAATGATGTGTCTTTTTAACAGTTTAATATACGAAAAAGTGATAAATCTTTTCAGGTATAGTCTCATTGGTCACCCAAGATAGCACACCTGGCAACCACATTGCATAATGTCCGCCTTTCTTTAAAAGCAGTAATTTAGTTAGCCAATAATGGGCAATCAATCAATGTATTGCCGGTTAATCCTTTGAAAGAAGGACGTTGTTTTTACGCAGACACCGACACGACAGAGTGTATTCAGTATAGATTAGTAAATCTACATACATAAACACTACCTTTTGACAATTCCGCTGTGTAAGATAAAAGTAATTAATCAATCAGCGTGTTATCGGTTAATCCTTTGATCGATGTTTTATAATGTTGAATATTTACTCCAGACACAAGAAATGCCAAATGGGAACCTTTGTCGGGTAATCTAAGTGTGTTACCATTAATTATACCTGTTATAAATTCATTAACTGACCATCAAGTGAATGATGACAAATAACATGTGTAGGTTTATACCACCTAACACGGGGTACAACAAGGGAGTACGATCCACGACGCCGAGGTACGATGACCCATGAACAACGAGTTTTCAGGTACGATGACACACAATGAGCAACGATCCACGACGTCGAGGTACGATGGCACACAATGAGCAACGATCCACGACGTCGAGGTAATGATGGCACAGAAATGAGCAACGATCCACGACGTCGAGGTACGATGACACATAATGAGCAACGATCCACGACGTCGAGGTACGATGGCACACAATGAGTCGAACGATCCACGACGTCGAGGTACGATGACACATAATGAGCAACGATCCACGACGTCGGGTACGATGGCACACAATGAGCAACGATCCACGACGTCGAGGTACGATGGCACACAATGAGCAACGATCCACGACGTCGAGGTACGATGACATAATGAGCAACGATCCACGACGTCGAGGTACGATGGCACACAATGAGCAACGATCCACGACGTCGAGGTACGATGGCACACAACGAGTAACGATCCAGGACGCCAGGAACAATGACATGACAAACTAAAAAACAAACAAACAAACCTTTCATTGCTTGTTCTCGCTGGAGCTTTCTTGACGTCCTCAACCTGACAAATCAGAAATATGTTTAGTGAACGCAACGTTAATTTGAACATCTAACATAGCGGACAATGTTGTTAGAGAATATTTACACACTCATACAGTTACACCTTGCCAATCAGGAATTAGTCCCCAGCAACCAACGCTTGTCTAACGGGATCGGGCAACCAGGCTCGCTAGCATGGTATCATCGTATATCTTAATTATCATATATGATCACTGGATTGTCTGGAGTTTTACAAAGCTATAATGATTTCTGAGTAATCCGCAAGCAAACAAACAAATATTAATTACATGTGATGATCCGGACGGACCAATCTTCGTGATGCTACCATTCGGATTAACGAGGTGTACATGTGTTATCCATAAGGTCGGTTTTCTAAACCGGACATCGTGTTTATACGGACGCTAGTCCATGTAACAAGTATGACTGACTATGCTTCAGTTTATGTTTTGTTTGAAAAACTGGGGAATACCAACTTTAATAAAATCAGGGACATGAACGGGCCGATGACTTTGACACTGCAGGTACTACCACTACACTGCTGCTGCTTTTGCCGATTCTACTACTGCTACTACTTCTACTACTACCATTATTACTACTACTACTACTACTACTACTACTACTATTACTACCATTACCACCACCACTACTACTACTACCACCACTACCACTACTACTACTACTACTACTACTACTACTACTACTACTACCACTACCACTACCACTACGTCGTCGTCATATGAGCGAAATATTCTCAAGCACGACGTTAAACCCAATTTCACCTCACCTCACCTCAGTACTACTACTACTACTACTACTACTACTACTACTACTACTACTACTACTACTACTACTACTACTACTACTACTACCACTACCACTACTACTACTACCACTACTACTATTACTACTACAACCAATACCACTACTACTCCACCATATAGCTGGAATATTGCTGAGTGTGGCGTTAAACAACAGACTAGCACAACTACTACTTCTAGTAAAACAACAATCATTGACAGACAGAAAGTATTTGTTTTTCAAAGTGATCTGATTTTTGTTACTTATGAATCTTGCAAGAGGGGAGGTAACTCAGTGTGCCATTAATGCTTTCTCGTGCCATGGGGATTATATTTCCGCTTCAACCACAACTGAATTAACCCCCAGGGACTCACCTTTCTAACGTCGCCAATATTTCACTGTCTGTCTCAAAACCCATTGTAAAGCATCCTTCCGGGGCCTGCATCTTTAGCACCATGTCAATGTAGCCTGGCTTGAAGAAATTCTCATACCCTAGGGACCCACACAAGACGGCTGCAACAGAACACGTACAATCAACGACAGAACTCAAACTAATAAATTTCGATATAAAGTCAACATTTAACGAATTTATTACCTGAAATATCTTCCTCTAACTCAAAACTGGATATTTTCGCAACATCGATAATCGACTAGATAACTATTTCGTACAATACCATATATCTATATACATAATGGAGGAGGGGTCTATTTATATTTTCCTTCCACTGTTGAAACAGTTTTATAAAATAATCAACAATAAAATAGTCTTCAGTTCACACGCAAGCTTGGGGATACAAAAGACTATTACTAGTCTATTACTAGACTAGAGATTATTACACGTGCATGTGTCATACAACTTATACGAATCGAGTGTGAAATTTTGTATTGTGAAATACAAATACATAATTTTGCACGAGTTTTGTATGTAATATGACACACTTGATAATACTGCAATAATTTCTTTATTATTCATTTTATTCACTTGCGCAGTAAAACACGGTAAAGCAAGTGTGACGACGCACCTCATTGACGTCACGTTCAATGTTTAATGACGACGAAATACAGAAACAAAGTGATATGTCACATGTGCACATATGTTATATATGACACTGGTTATGTTCCACCATATGGATAAAAAAATAAGTTGTGTTATTGTTTTCAACACCATATCCGGATGAAGCAGGGGGCGTGTAGCTGATTATTGATCAGCTTCATCAAATATGCTTTCTCTGTAGCTTCTGCAGCTGTTCGATAGGCAAATATCAATGTATTGTGTGATATGACGTGACTCTGTGTGATACCTGACGCTGTGCAAAACGACCTGGTGCTGTAATACGACCTGACACTGTCCATAACGACCTGACACTGTGTGATACGACAAGACACTTTGGAATACGACCAGACACTGTGCATAACGACCTGACACTGTGTGATACGACCTAACACTGTGTGATACGACCTAACACTGTGTGATACTACCTGACACTGTGTGATACGACAACACACTCTGTGTTATACGACCTGACACTATGTGATACGACCTGACACTGCGTGATACGACAAGACACTGTGTGATACTTCACAGTGTGTGCTACGACCGGACACGATGTGTGATACGACCTGACACTGTCTGATACGACCTGACACTAGGCTGACACTGTGTAATACGTCACAGTGTGTTATACGACCTGACACTGTGTTATACGACCTGAAACTCTGTGATGCAACTTGACGTCGTGTAATACGACCTGACACTGTATGATACAACGTAACGCCGTGTAATACGACCTGACACTGTGTGACACGACCTAACACTGTGTTATACGACCTGAAACTGCGTGATACGACCTGAAACTGTGTTATACGACCTGACACTGTGTTATACGACCTAAAACTGTGTTATACGACCTGAAACTGTGTGATACGAACTGACACTGTGTGGTACAACCTGACACTGTGTGACACGACCTGAAACTGTGTGATACGACCTGAAACTGTGTGATACGACCTGACACTGTGTGACACGACCTAACACTGTGTTATACGACCTGAAACTGTGTGATGCAACTTGCCGTCGTGTGATACGACCTGACACTGTATATTATATGATACAACGTAACGCCGTGTAATACGACCTGACACTGTGTGATACGACCTGACACTGTGTGATACGACATGACACTGTGTTATACGACCTGAAACTGCGTGATACGACCTGAAACTGTGTTCTACGACCTGACACTGTGTGACACGACCTAACACTGTGTTATACGACCTGAAACTGCGTGATACGACCTGAAACTGTGTTATACGACCTGACACTGTGTTATACGACCTGAAACTGTGTTATACGACCTGAAACTGTGTGGTACAACCTGACACTGTGTGGGACAACCTGACACTGTGTGACACGACCTGAAACTGTGTGATACGACCTGAAACTGTGTTCTACGACCTGACACTGTGTGACACGACCTAACACTGTGTTATACGACCTGAAACTGTGTGATGCAACTTGCCGTAGTGTGATACGACCTGACACTGTATGATACAACGTAACGCCGTGTAATACGACCTGACACTGTGGGATACGACCTGACACTGTGGAATACAATATGACATATGTCATATGAAAATCATATGTCTTATTTACCTATGCCTCTGTAAGAATTTCTGTCAAGAGGTGACTTATGTCAGCGCCTCTTTGAACTATATATCAGACTTTCCAAGGCTTTTCAGCGTGATATGGAAGGAGAAATAAACGAAACTAGGTCGAAGACGTGTGCCACTTTGGTAAATCGGGAAACGCGGATTTGATCACATTGTCATAGGATCCTTGCGAGGCTATGAGAGACAACTGCGCAAATCCAAATTAGCCGCTGAGGGCGACTTCGAACCCGGGATCATAGGATCCTGGCACGATCATGGGAGACAACTCTGAACAGCGAAAACTTCCCCTGAGACGAGTAAAAACAGTGCCAGTATACACCAAAATAATTCTTGCATATCGAATATCAACTAGCATACGTATGATCCTGGGATCCTGGAACGATTATCGGAGACAACTCCTAACAGCGAAAAATTCCCCTGAGACGAGTTAAAACCGTGACACTACACTATGAAATAATTCCAGCCTATCAAACATCGACTAGTTTACATGTGCATTATTACATTGTTCCAGAAAGAGGTCCTGAGATCCTATGTTGACCGATCCCTCTTTGGCGAGTATGCTGGCCTCTTTGTATATCTTCTGACAGAATCTGTCTTCTATTTCACGGATCCCTGACGCGCTCAGAGAGGAGCTCTGTTCGCTCAGCTTCTCGTCACACCCAGTCTGTAACATACAAGTGTGACGTCACGGATCACCTGGTATATGGGCATATCTGGATTGACTTGTATAATATATGGTTCTTTAAATCTTTAATTTAAAAATATATTATAAAACGTCAATGAAGAATAACCAGGCTTCACAATACTCAGGAAGAAAATAATTTAGGGTAAAAGGGCAAAATAGCTGTGACGATTCCAGGAATGGACGATGGAAACTCAGTGATGACACCGGGTGTTTTCGTAAGGGTAAGCATGCTCTGCCCTACACGTTACTTAAAAAGTATCTCTTCCCTGACGCCGTACAGTAGTGCTCCTGCCTCGCGACGGCGTCCTGTACACAAACCAGATAATCACGTGATCAACAATTTGTGTACACGTCGAATATGGCTGGGTTTTATAAATTCAATTATTCTCATAAATTCCGCAGTCAGTGTGCAGTCTACATGATACGGAACACTTTGAATCATTTTTGTCAGGCGTCAAATGGCAGGTATGATGTTAAAGCCACAATCCATATATAAGACGCGGATTCAGTTTATGGGGAGTCCAATAGATGGCTGACAGCTCGTGTACCGAATGGAACCGTCGGGGTTCCGCGATACACAATCAAACAAAACACATTGGGGTTAGTGAGTATGGTTTTATGCCGCTTTTAGCAATTTTGCAGCAATATCACGGCGGGTGACACCAGAAATGGGCTTTACACATTGTACCCATGTGGGGAATCGAACCCGGGTCTTCGACGTGACGAGCGAACGCTTTAACCACTAGGCTGCCCCACTGCTCCGATACACATTATAACTACGAGATCCACCAGTCTTTCAAAACAAGGGGTACTGTGGTGTTCGGCACATGGATGCCTTGATTACAAGGTACAAGGGTACTGGGGATTAGGTTACTCAGGTACTGGGGCACATGCAGGGAGTACTATGGTATTGGTGCACATGTTCACCTGGGTACTGAGGACAAGGGCCTGGGGTACTCGTGGCACAGGGATAGTCGGATACTGGGGAACGTGTGTCTTAGGGAACAGGGATACAGGGGTATTAAGATGCTACAATTTTGGTACTGAGATACGGAAGTACGTTGGTGCTTGGGCAATACAGGCTGGTTGGTTTGTTATTTAACGCCGTATTCAGCAATATACCAGCGATAAGGTGGTCTGAGAATAATCGAGTCTGGACCAGACAATTCAGTGATCAACATCGCCAGCATCGATCTATGCAACTGGGACACAATGACATGCATCAACCAAGTCAGCGAGCATGACCCGATCTTGTTATCGCTTGTTACCACAAGCATGGGTCGCTGAAGACCAGGTTATAACCCCGATCTTCACGGATCGTGTTTCGGTCACCACACGAGTTTGATCATAATATGAAAAACCCAACGTTTCACAGTAACATATTTTGTCTCACAATTCCGTTTAGATCCATAGCTGGTATTAAAACAAAGTTACACTATGACCAGACCACCTGATTCCGTTCGTCGCCTCTTACGACAAGCATGGGTTTCTATAAACCAGTTCTATCCCGGATCTCCACAGGTACTGGAGCACGGGGGTACTCGGGTACCGGAGCACAGGGATTCTTGGGTACTGGGGTACTTTGGTACTCGAATATCGGGGTACTGGGATACTACAGTACTGGTGTACTCTTGTGAAGGTAACTAACAAAGGTATTTACGTTAGATGTGATAATGGTGTTTTGAGGCAAGTCATTTACCTAAACAATGCTAAGAACAGGACAACACGCAAAGCCGCCGTCAACAATTATGTGATAACCTCCACATGACGTTTCTCGGATATTGATTTAAGGGGGGTGATCAGTTAAAGAGATTGTTCAAATCACTAAAGTAACGGATTAACATGAACTTAACCGATTTGGGCTCCAATCCATCATCCAACATTCTGGTAATTGGGAAGCCATTTGTCACGACTTTGTTATAGAACGTAACTGATTTCACCTGGTTTATCGATTTCACTAAACCGTGCCTCAAAACGGATTTCTATTAACTTGTTACATGTCGGCTTTGGGAAATGTAGATGTAAATTGGATTCTCTGACAATCCGTAATGGTGAAAGTGGTCCGCTTTGGTTTTATATTCATTGGGAAATGACTGCAATAACACGTGACCAGTTCAGCCAATGAAAATGCAGGAATTTACAAGGATCACAACGGAATTTTCATTATGTACATATGAATTCTTTTAATATTTGAAGCAACTCACGATATCGAACTGCGCCGTGGACAACTTGGCCACAGGTGTCCCCAGTTGATCAACACTGAGTCTCTGATTACTACAGGTGTCCTACTAGCTGAGCAGAAATTTTTCTTTCCACAGTTTCATCACGAAACTAATTAGGTCCTGAATGTTCTCCAATAAATTGAATTATTGGATTTTCAAAATATAAATGGGTGAAAATGCTAACATCGTACCATCTTCTTTACACCAAAGACATACACTATGCATTAAACACCCTAGATATCTATTTCCAATATGGCCGCCGTGGCAGACATGCTTGCAATTGGTCCAGAGAAAACGTACTGGGATCATACCTTCGTGAAAGCTGGGTTCTACGGGATAGGTTTGCAAGAATGTGGGATCTCACTAAATAATCGGTGTCTTAAACAGATTGTATAACGTGTTTGTTATTAGAGTCGGAAGTCTGTTAATACATTTAGGCCCATACTTGTCTGGATATAAATAATTATTCGGATAAAGTTGCACAAGAGGTTTCAGAGGAGCTGTAAAACAAGCCTCACACCTCACACCTCACACCATAAGCTTACTTGCCAGTTCACGGAGACTAACGAGGAAGGCCGAATGCACGTGTACTCACATGTTCCACGACGATGAAGTAGAGCAGTTGGTGGGTGATGGTGTATCTTTTGGTGTCCCCCTTGGTCACAAGGTCAAGGCACGGCTGGGTCACGTTACAGCGAGGGATGGTCCTAAAGACAAAGATGGACAAACATGAGGGGCCGTAAACTAATCTTTAGTTACAGTTCGCTCTACCACCATGTATAGTTTAATAAAGTATACTTTCGCCCTGAACTATTATAGTTAAAGTACGAGGACGCTTGAATCCCCTGCGTTGCCGTGAAAACAGACGAAAATGGCCTAGCGACGTCAATACAGTGTGACGTAATGCCAAATTTGTACTTTGTCGTACAACAAATGCATGCGGTTATAGTGTAACAGTGTTTCTGTATCTAATTTAATATTTAGTCAAGGCAACAGGACTTGTGACAGCTGACGACCGCATCCGTGGTCTAGTGGATAGACTGGGTTCGATCCCCAACCGCGTTATACCAAAAGACGCTGAATATGTACTTGTTGTTGCCCTGGATGGTGCTTATTAAGATGATAAAACAGGGCAGCAAGAACAGGTTATCTCTGCGTGGTCAAGTGTCCGAGTAGGTTATCTGCGGCTTGGTATCTCGATTGAGAGAGAGGGGCGGTGGGGTAGCCTCGTGGTTAAAGCGTTGGCTCGTCACGCCGAAGACACCGGGTTCGACACGCACACAGACACACAAACTCTTACACTGACACACTTCACTGTCCCACGCCGTGATGTTGCTGGAATATTGCTTAAAGCGGCGTAAAACTAAACTCAGTCAGTCAGTCAGTCGATTGAGAGAGAGAACAAGCTCCCACACAAACACTCCACGTAGACAATGACACACAGACACACAAACACGCACACACACACAACAAACACTACACTGACACACTGACACTCACACACCTCACCTGACCTCACCTCACCTCACCTCCAAATTGAGCTCTCTGGTGTATTTCTTTGTAAATTGTTGTTGCCCAGATTGTATTCATTGTTGTAGTGTTGTTTGTCAACAATGTAAGCGTGTTTTGTTTGTTGTTTAACGTCGACCTCGGCACTGTTCCAGATACGTGACCGTGTAATGTTTATAATACAGCCCAGTTTTAACTGACACGCAGTGCTAGGGTTGACATCAAGTTCATGCCCGGAGTAAGGCTGATTTGAATTCCGTGAGTCATAAACCTCATTTCATTTGCTGCCAAAGTATAGCAATAGTGATAGTCCGCTAATATGACCCTCATATCCAGGTACATTGTCTGCTCACGGCGCTACGTACAGTACTATCCCCGGTCATAGGACACTATCGTACTATCCGATACTTTTTCAACTCCCCGGGGACCATACAGCCATGCTGCCTGTTAGGCGCAATGAACTAATCACTCACGGGTACCCATTTTACAGCTGGGTGAACTGAGACAATGTGGATTTAACCCATTTATGCATATCGTCCGTTTTGGGGACGGGTACTTCAAAAAAGCATTTCTCTCCTATTGTTGAAGATAGAAACCTGCAGTTTAGACGTGAATGAAGCTGAGTACATTGTTTAGTGGTTGAGCCATTCACATTACTTGTAGAGTTTAAGTTCTTTAGGCATGGTCACTTCCAGTGGCAAGACGGGTCCCCTGCCAATTCGGCGAATTGTGAGGTAAGATGATTTTTTCAGTGGTCCCTATTTTAACTATGTTCATTAGAATGTGTTTAAAACTTTCGTTGTTCAAATAGAAAAATTAAATGAAAATGGTTTGCATTTTTTCCACACTCAATTTTTCGCCAAAGTACCGGACTTAGGGAGGCAAATGTGCCCACCTTGGGACCCGAACATACTTAGGCGCCTCCACCGAGGATCGAACCCGGGCCTAGAACGTATACTACTTTAAGTATGCTAAGGATCGTATTGCTAAGGCATTACGTCCAACTATGTTCATTTGTTGAAATATATAGAAAAAGAAAACATTAAAAAAAGAATTAATTTTTTTTAAATTTGAAATTAAAAATTAAGAAACAAATATATGAAAAAAACTAGGCCAGGTAAACCCATGAGACAGAGAACTCCTTAGATGAAGGCTCCTAATGTCAATCAGTAGGTTCTCTGGTGTTTATTGATAGGCTATCGTTATGCAGCTGAGATATTTCAAAGTGCGGTGTTAAACACCATAAATAACGGCAACATAAAGAATTGAAAATAAATTTTAAAATTAGATACATTTTAAAATTAAAAATAAATAAAAAATGTAAAAAATATCTAGACAGGAAACTCCGTTACCGGTCGTTTTCCTGGAAGGTTCCAAGCAGCCTGGCGTAGCATCGATCCCCTTCTTCTTCATCATACTCCTTGTTGTGGCCGATCTCTACATCTTCCATTCCATGGAACCTAAATGGACGGTATTTAAGGATGTAAGGCTTGGAGATGGTTTCACGAAATCTGGCGAAGTAGTCCGGGCTCTCTTGTTCGATGTAGGGCATGGCCTTTTGGCAGGTGACTTCAAGCTCGGACCGGAAGCGACGTAATAAGTCTTTCAGTTCAGGAGAGCATGACCTAGACTCACATTCTTCCAGAGCTTCTATGATTTGTCCTGAAATAAACAAAAACTATGACTGAGACGGAAGTACGGTCGTTTCTGCGTTAAAACATGTTGTGAGATCATTGAGGTAAAAAACATTCAAATGTAAACTGACGATCAAAAGAAAGTACACACCTGATTTCTTTGGTAAAATATTTTCTTAAAAACAACATTAATATTTAAAAAGTGGTTTGATTCTGCCTTGTCACAAACATTGTGCAAGTGTTTCCAAAACACTACAGATATCGTATCGAATTACAACATTGCTAGCAAAATATTTATGCTTCTTTTTGGAAATAGTCCCAAAACACCAGGTGTGTGCTTTCTTAGGTACGTCAGTATATATTCTGAAATAAATGTGAGAAACCAAAGAAACAATGTAATCCTAAAACCGTAAGAACCATAAATATAGAGCAACTATTTTTTTGGTATGATATGTACCACAAATATTATATACGACGATGATAATATTCATTTGTCATAATCTTATTTTCCGACAAATCAGTTATATTATATTTATGGATGAATCTTGCCAATCTGACGAATGCCAACATCGGTTCCTAATTCAAACCATCATCAAAACCAAGGTAGGCAAATAAGTCATGAAAAGGATGTACACTAATATGACTTATGATTTCGTGAACCGGATGCTAAGGCAAATAATGGTCGTATGCCGAGAGGTTGGCACAGTTTGCATGAGTCTGGGTGAGTGAGTGAGTGAGTGAGTATGGTTTTTCGCCGTGTTTAGCAATATTCCAGCAATATCACGGCGGGGCATACCAGGATTGGGCTTCAGACATTGAACCAATGTAGGGATTCGAACCTGGGTCTTCGGAGTGACGGCTACGCCAGCGCCCGAGTACGCAAAATCCTACATTAATGTTGCATAGTATCTTGGATCAAGGAGTTAAAGTTAACTGTTCATTATGATTGATTATGTAAAGAAAAAAGAAAAACTGATAGAAAGCTTATCTATTTTGTTCCCATTAAAATTAATATAGAAATATAAGTATTGATATAAAAAATCAATAACTACTTCTTACTATATTTCATGTTTCACGTGCTTGATATATACCGTTATCACATGCCATCTCCAAACGTAAAAGAACCATATCACACCTGCTGGTCGCGAACACTTGAACTAGTTCAAGGGAGATTAAATTCATAGGTCAATAATCTGTTGCTATCGCAACACAGGTCACATGATACAGGTGAAGCTACTGATGTAGTGCTGGTCACAGATGTTCATCATGCACTTTGTACGTTGCCATGGTAACAGGATAGGCAGTACTTATTGCGGGTAATTTCGCTAATTGTTTTTTCAATTCTTTCCAGCATTAATATGTGTTCACCAATCTGTAAATCATAACACAGGATAAAACATGAAAGGAAAAAAACAATTATTTCTAGCCTTAGCTTGATTGGGATGTGGGTTAGCCTTGTGGTTGAAGCGTTTTCTCGTCACGCCGAAGGTCCGGGTTTGACTCCCTTAAAGGGAATCAGAATCGAAGTTACAGATGTGTTGCCTTCTTTTCTGATTTGCATATGAACATTTGAATTTACATGGATTGCAAGATTTTTCAATTTAAATTGCTTTACATTTCAAACCGACCGACCTAACTTTTAATCGCGTTGCTACGTGAACAAATGTTGCCCTTGATTTTTTTTAACAGACAGACAAAATAGTTTATTTTTGTGTCACGTGAATGTACATTGTAATTAAAAAGGCAGTGGTAAAAACATTAAATATACAACACCAGGCCAAATGGCCAATGAGACACACTAGACAATATGTGCATAAAATATATAAAATATAAGCTTAAAACATAAAAGGATTATCACACATATGAAAGATCCAGAACAAAAAACCCCTAAAATTAAAAAAATAAAATAAAATATGTTATTGGGATGATATCTTACGCCGATACATACGGTTAACCGTAGCGGCCAGTGGATTAACAATAGTTTCTGTTTGTAAAAGGAATGCAGCTTGTTCAGTGTTTGACACTTGACAGTTTAATATTCATATACAGGATGGTCGGGAACCACGTTAGGTCGTTTTGCATTCGGGAACTGCAATTTAATTATATACATATTTAATAACTGTACAAAGCATTCGATATGTGAAAAATTTTAATATCATTTTATATCAAAGTTAACGAATTTAAGAGAGAGACATGCAGTGTTACTGGATATACCGGTCCCAACAGCTGCTAAAGTTTAACTCTTTACATACATACACACATACATACCACATACACACATACACATATCGCCGATATCCAGTACAACTGCTCAAAGGCGCTTTTTCCCTCGATCATTGGATATCCATCATTACGGCACATCGTATTTTTCAATCTCAACTCCCTGGGGATCATACAACACTTGCTGCCTACCAGGCGCACCGAGTTAATGTGGCTTTTCCATCCTTACGAGGTACCCAGTCACAGTACTTTGTCCAACTTTACTGCACGTTGCTGTACCCGCAACTAGGTGTTTGCACGTATTCATGTGGCCACCATCTGGTCATCTACCAACGGATTCATGGGTTCTTTTAAGTGCACAGGGTTGTGTACTGTACACTAGGGGTTGTGACAACACTGAAATAGTCTGCACACAAAGTGAACTCCAAGGTTTTTACACCCGGTCACAGGTGGGCTCGATCCCGGCACCTCCAAGCTCGCTGGATTAATAGCCTGGCGCCTTAGACAGCTCGCCCACCGCGCTCATGAGTTATGATCAAGTCTTCAGTTGTTATAACCTGGTCTGCATGGGTTATGAACATATTTTCAGGGTTATAGGTTCTTCACGTTTTTTACCAGATCATCTTAGTTAGTGAACAGATGATCTAGCACTATAAATAGGTCCTTATTTGTTTTGACAAATAAACTCAGTCAATTGCAAATTTAATGGGACAATTAAACAAACATATGCTCGAATCCCGGCACCTCCAAACTCGCTGGATTACTAGCCTGGCACCTTAGACAGCTCGCCCACCGCGCTCCCTCATGCATCAGTCGACCTAGTTCTCCCGCCGCCCTTGACAGGCATGTCCTGTCCAGTGTTTCATATCACTTGTGTAGAAGAAGTGGTTGATATTTTCTCAGGAGAATCGATTTTTATATTCATTGGAGTGTGTACCTTTTCGACATTTTTCTGTATTCAACATTTCAAAGTTTTCAAGCCCGCGTTCTGTATAGTTTGGTACCGGAACTAGTTTCCTTAAAACAAATTTACTTTGAATAAATACATGGAGGAAATTCATCCATTCGTTTAACACTTCTGAATTTCTCAGCAGACGTTTTTCGTGGCAATTTCCATTTGTTAAATCTCATATTTTTCACATGACCTTGTAGAACAAGGGCTGACAAAGTTCTCCAGGCAACTTAACACGAACGGTTACAGGCCGGGAAAGCCACATTTCAAAAACAGAATTTGAACAAGGATCTTAACAACTAAAACAACATCAACTGAATGGATAATAGCCATGGACCGTATGCACAAAGAGACCTTAGTGCGGGGATTGTAGTAAATATATGTCTGGAATTATGACAGTCAAAGCGATAAGACCGGGTCGACCGTCGTATCTCAGGTTTAAGACAGATTTACTTAGCCGTGGCTCGAGGATATCATTGTGAGTCTGGGTTTTAGTCCCACTTGCACCAAGCGAGTTTAGCGTTAAGACTTTCCTATCTTCTATATTTCAACACTGACAACACTTCAGTCAAATGCACGTTATGACATATACTGTCAAGAGAATATCAGATCTGATTCCAGTGAAAAGATCCAGTATAGCATCCAGGTAACTGAAGGGGCAAGTCGTTGGGCCCTACGAAGACCTGTTGACCTCGATCAAGAGACGCAAGCTCAAATGGTATGGCCATGTCATGAGATCATCAGGGCTTGCCAAGACATTCCTGCAGGGCACAGTGCAAGGAGGGAGAAGGAGAGACAGACAGAGGAAGAGATGGGAGGACAACATCCCAGAATGGACGGGCTTGAGGTTGAGATACACAATCAGGAGGTCAGAAAACCGAGAGGATTGGAGGATGCTGGTTGCCAGATCACCTGTGGCGCCCCAACGGTTCACAAGACTACGGGATAGATGATGAGATGATGATGAACTGAAGGGGTGGTGAGGTAGCCTAGTGGTTAAAGGATCCCCTCGACAGGTCGAAGACCCGAGTTCGATTCCCCTCATGGGTACAATATGTGAAGGCCATTTCTGGTGTCCCTGCCACAATATTGCCGGAACATTGCTGAAAGCGGCGTAAAACCATTTTCACTCACTCCTCAAGGTAACTGAATCATGGCCACGGAGTCGATCTGTTAATCCGCGAAATTCCGTTTTCGGGTGGGGTTTTGGGAGATCACATATACACCTGGTTGATAGAGTGTCTGCTTGTAGAGGTCGTTGGTTGGATCCTCGGCCAAGAGATGATACTTGTTGCTACTCTGCCTGGCTGTTGACACTCCCGGGACAAAACAAGGACTGGAGGGCTTGAGGCTGACTGGGTTATCGATGTTATTCATGGTGGCTCAGTACATTAGCAATATAAACCTGGCAGTATCCGGGCCTAATACAATCACACACATACACATACACACATGCATGTTCACACACATCACACAAACACGTACACACTCAGACAAACACGCATATACATACATATACAAGCACGCTGACACACATACACACATACATGTACATACACACACATACGCACGCACACACACATACACATACACACAGGGAGAAACACACACAAACACACAGACAAACACACAAATCCATGTATATGTATATGCAAGCACGCTCACACACATACACACATGCATGTACATATGCGCACGCGCACGCACGCACACACACACACACATGCATGCACATGTCGTTGTATTACTGCAATCATCTTCAAAGCGATGTGAAATGCAATTTCAAATCACGTCCGCCAACCCTTGATCTCTTACAAGTAATTGCAACTCATAGGATTTGTATATGAAAAAGCCGG